ATTCGTTTTATATGACCATATAATTCTAAAGTAGCATCAATAGGGAGCTACGTTGTTTGCTTAAGTATATTAATTAGGTAAGGGCCAGCATATGAGGTAACATGCGGTAATTAGGAAGAAGCCGTAATGTGGGCTTAAAAACACAAATAAGATGTTTTTTAAATTTAAAAAAAATGTCTACATACCAAAGGCATTTGTTTATCTTATATTAAGCTAAATTTATACAAGGTCCCTATGGCAAGACTAACTCAGTGTGGCTTTTGGAGTAACGTTTTGTGCCATCCAATGTAGAAAACAGCAATCCTGGTCTAACCAGTATTGACAACATTTATAAGAAGCTGGATATAATGGTTACATAATATACGGCAAGCAGTAGCGTAGCGAGGGGGGGGGGCGGGGGGGGGGGACATATGTCCCCGGGCGCCGACCTTAGGGGGCGCCAAAATGGGTTGGAAAAATAAATTGAAAGGTTGAGGGGGGTGGAAATCGAAAGTTTGAGGAGGGGGGGGGGGGGAAATCGAAATCTTGAGGGGGGTGCAAATCGGAAGTTTGAGGGGGGGGGGGTGCAAATCGAAAAGTTTGTCCCCGGGCGCCGGGAAGGGTCGCTACGCCTCTGACATATACTGCACTACTATCTCTATTAGGAGCTGTTTATAATGGTCGCATAATATACGGCAAGGATAATTATTCACAATCACTATACGTATAATCACGCTGCGTATGATGATCGATTAATATACGGCAATATTTTTGTCACAGAACACGGCTACCTGTGGTAATATTGCTACAAAAAAACGGCTGGCTGTGATACTGTTATTGCTACAAAAAAAAAACGGCTAGCGGTGGTATTGTTATTGCTACAAATAGTGCTAGTTGTGATAATGTTATTGCTACAAATAGTGCTAGCTGTGGTAATGTTATTGCTACAAATGGTGCTAGCTGTGGTAATGTTATTGCTACAAATGGTGCTAGCTGTGGTAATGTTATTTCTACAAATGGTGCTAGCTGTGGTAATGTTATTGCTACAAATGGTGCTAGCTGTGGTAATGTTATTGCTACAAATGAAGCTAGCTGTGGTAATGTTATTGCTACAAATAGTGATTGCCGTGGTAATGTTATTGCTACAAATAGTGCTAGCCTGAGCCAGAACGGAAACAGGAAAGATAACCGCCGGATCGTGACCGAAATGAAAATGACCTTTGAAGCAAATAGTAGCCAATCGATTTTTGAGTGAATTATAGCCTCACTCATCAGGTCCAGCCAACAGATGGTGTACATTTGGACTAATCTCTACCATAATTTTCGTCACGTGACTCGGGCTAGTCAAACCTGACACCATTTATTTTGTCGGAGTGTGAACAGATTTAAAAATGCTCACCAAAAACCGACGGAATGGAATGTCTGCCACAATACACCATACAATGAACCCCATTTAATAATCGATAGCGCCACTAATGTAATAGAATTAGCTGGTAAACTTTGAAGAATTGCTCAGATAATTATTTTCATTTCAGATCTAAAAAAATGACTCTTTTAAAATGTCTTGAGTCCTGATACCCACTGAGACACGGGCTGACTTTCAATTGGCCGATAATCTTCATATTTACTTGACTAGTGTGTCTAGGGTTCAAAGATAACTACATCACTTAGACTAGTGTGTCTAGAGTTCAAAGATAACTACATCACTTAGACTAGTGTGTCTAGAGTTCAAAGATAACTACATCACTTAGACTAGTGTGTCTAGAGTTCAAAGATAACTACATCACTTAGACTAGACTAGTGTGTCTAGAGTTCAAAGATAACTACATCACTTAGACTAGACTAGTGTGTCTAGAGTTCAAAGAAAACTACATCACTTAGACAAGTGTGTCTAGAGTTCAAAGATAACTAAAACATTTAGACTAGACTAGTGTGTCTAGTGTTCAAAGTTAACTACATCACTTAGACTAGACTAGTGTGTCTAGAGTTCAAAGATAACTACATCACTTAGACTAGACTAGTGTGTCTAGAATTAAAATATCACTACAATATATATAAGGCCTTTGAAGCAGAAATTTCATCTAATCCTTTAATTCCTCTAGACAAAATTTAGCACAAATAAAGTAATTATTTTTTGCTTAATGCAATAAAATCCCGAGTTCCATGCAAATGAATCCCGGACCCAATTTAAATTATAAGATGTTTTATTTGTTTTCATGTGTATTTGATTAGTTTTAAAAAAAAATTCATTAAAGGATTCAGAAATGAAGATACCCCCCCCCCCCCCGAGAAACGGGGTCAGATGTGGCTCGAGAATTTCAGGGAACTTTAAAATAAAATCATACAAATTCGATTCCTGCTCTGTCAGGCCGGGGTCAATAAAAATACATCAAATATGGCCGCCAACAGTTGAAACAAACTCCCGGATGTATTCTGTTTGTTGACTGCATGTCTATCTAGGTTAGTATTTGTATTGCCCGTGTCAATGACATTGTTTGGGTATTATTGACTTCCTACATGTTTCAATCACCGTGTCTTAGATTGTTTGACTGTGTTTCTATTCTTATAGTCTATGACTTAATGCTGTCCATGTTTTACCGGATGTGTCTATGTTTGATTGACTTGTCATTGTTTAAAGTGTCCATGACTTAGTGATCGTGTCTTTTTTTTATTGCCAATGTTAACATTTTATTGACGGCAGAGTTTCTTCCAGGCATATATACTTTTAACAATGTCCGTCCCCCGTCCCCACCCCCCCCGTCCCCGGAAACTTTAGTCCCGTCCCCCCCCCCCCCCTTGAGAAAAAGTCTGGAAGAAACACTGATTGACGGTATCGATTACAAAAAATTTACCTTGCCTATGTTTGATACATTGTATTTTTAACCGTGTCTACCTTTTATTGACAGTTTCCATGTTTTATTGACAGTGTCTATATTTTATTGACAGTGTCGGTGTTTTATTGTCAGTGTCTAAGTTTTATTGACAGTGTCTAAGTTTTCTTGGTATTGGCTAAATTTTATTGACAGTGTCTATGTTTTATTGACTCTCCCTACCGCCCGGAAGACTATTTAAATATCCCCTTCCAAAAGTTATACCATGGCTCCCAAGTCTATCCATCTTAACTATAATTGGCATTCATTCTTCAAATGGCAGAGACGTAGCTAAGGGAGGGCGGGTGGGGGGGGGGGGGGGCGCCGAATGGGGTAGGGAATTTTTTTATATTTTCTTTTAAAAAGCTCATTGTGAGCTGCACTGCTTAATTATACTTATACACAATCTGAGTTAAGAAAATAGTTATTTGGCTTGACAGGCTTATTTAATAACTGATTTCCACATCAGTTGTAATACCAACATAAAACCCTCTGAGGGACAGTGACTGGTAACCCTCCCCTCCCCCCCCCCCCCCCCCATGTTTTGCCAACGTAAATAACTATAAATGAGGGACGCAACGTTGATAGTTCGCCCCGGGTCGCTACGTCTCAGTCCAGTCTCTTAAGATTAGCATATGAATCCAGCTATTTTGGTATGTGTGCGATATAGTTTCAAACCAAAGCGTTCAATAAAGTCCTGAGAATAATCGAAACCCTTATGAAATGTTAGCGATTTAATAGAAATTTAATAGGTCTACATCACTTCAAAATTTTAAATCGAAGCATAAAAAAATAAAATAAAAATAAAAAATAAATAAATTCGCTACTATTGTTTAGCAGTACATTTTCTAATTTTCTAATCCGAATGAATGTCTATTTATAACCTGCATGTGCGCAAGCAAGCATGTCCAATCTTGAGTAACGTGTAAGCCTATAAATCAATGTAATTGATAGGCCTGCTTGAGCGCTTACATGTCTGATTGAAAATGTAGACGCTTTAGCAGACGCATAAATAGTTCAACAAAAATGTAAGCATCGAAATCGACCGATTATTAAAATACTCGTGTGTGAGTGAAGAGCAACCAAACCTTCTATAAAAACTATAAGAGGTAGCTACTGAATCATATAGCAAGCTGAATGTGTATACTGGAGACTGGCTTTGAGTATACGCATTACCGTGGGGATGAGCCTTATGATGTCTGAGATTAAAAAACATTTTGTTGTGTCTTATTATGCCAGATAAGCATGTTATTTGTGTTTTATATTAGGGGTCATCCATAAAGGACGTCACGCTTTTTTTGGACGATTTTTACCTCCCCCCTCCACTCCGTCACATATCGTCACAAAAAGTCAGACCCCCCTTAAAATGACGTCACACCTCAGCTTACAACCCCCCCCCCCCCTATTCAAAATTGCAGTTGAATTTTTCTTAAAATACGATATTTTTCCAAAATCTTGCCTGAACTCTGTTAACATAGAGTATTTTAATCAATTCCAATTTATTAAAACAGTTTTCTAAAACGCGAAATAACGGCTAAAATTCGTTTTCTAACATTGCTTTTTTATAAAGCAAAAGTGTGACGTCAAACAGTCTGAAACTCCCCCCCCCCCCTCATCACACACCGTCACACTATATATATATATATATATATATATATATATATATATATATATATATATATATATATATGTTTGCGTGTGTATGAGGGCAGTGGCGTAGCGAGGTCGGGTGTCACCCGGTGCGGCACTTAATGGCACTTTGGACCCCCCCTCAAGTTTTCGATTTGCACCCCCCCCCCCATCAAACTTTCGATTTGCACCCCCCCCCCTCAAGTTTGTCTCTATAAATTTTGCTATTTTTTGCCTTGTGTCACCCCCCCCCCCCCCCCCACTAAATGGTGTCACCCGGTGCGGTCCGGACCTCCCGCCCCCCCCCCCCCCCCCCCCCCCTCGCTAGGCCTCTGTATGTGCGTATGTTTGTGAACGTCAGAAACTGATTTCTTACTGCAAACAAATTAGACATGAACGTTAACTCTGTTTGAAACTGCAAATTTAGATAATCACTAACTGAATTATTTCCCCTTGTGTCTTTAAAAATTACATTGAAAATTACGACATACTTGTTATGGTTTAAAAGTCAAAGGTTAAAGGTCAATCTCATGACGAGAACATGGCGACTCCTCAGTTAGCCGAATCTACATTGAAAAAGGCTAAGTGAGTCAACGAATTATTGAATTATTGAATTAAGCCTACTTATTTACGAAACCTTATCATTAGATTCAACAAGTTGTCTAAATTAACATAGATCTAGCTAGATAATGGGCCTATACTCTCTATTCTATAGACTTATAGTTATAGTCTAGAGTTATCGATACTGAACAATCTTCTTTGACTTTTCTTCTGTAGTAAAAAAATAGCCTAAATAAAATAAATCATTATAAAATTCTAGATGTAGATTCTATGTAATCTATCGTTTTGGGTACGTAAAATCGCCCGCGACTTGTAATGTGAAAAACAGGTGACTCCTTAAATTTTAATAATTAGGCCTATTTCACATGTTGATGAGGATTTATGTTTTAAAAAATTCAAAAATGTTTCCTTGTTTCATTTATGTACCTATTTTTAAACAATTGAATTAAAACTTTTCAGTAATAAATGAAGACTAGCGATGTTCACAACAGATGCAACCATGCTCATTTACTATAGCAGCCATCTTGTTTAAGTTTTATTTTTATAAACTTATAGCGAGATTCAGGGGGAAGCCATTCTATTTTACAAATGGCTGCTGTTTATATAGTAATATATAGGAAATCTTGCTCGCAGACACTGCTGTTTAAAGTTAAATTCTGGCCTATATTGATATATTTAGCCATTGATCTAGGTTTATTAATCATTTATCTATAATATTTGACACAAACATATCACAATACACTTCTATTAAAGCCTTGACAATGAGGTAACGTTTTCGTACATTAATAGCCGCGGGCGATTTTACGTACCCAAAACGATAGATTACAAGATTCTAGAATATTCTAGATCTAGATCTCTAGATCTAGATCTGAGATCTAGATTCTAGATCTATTATCTAGAAATGAGACCGAATGATTATTTTATTTTTATTTATTTGTTTTGAATGTTTTCATAATGAAAGAAACCTATTCTCGATCATCCGTCAACTTGATCTGTATTGTAACTGACTGTCCTGTAACTGTTACTCTAGACTAGAGTACTAGACTAGTCTAAATCTAGGGACGATATTTGAATCATCTTGAATCCTGGTCAGAACGTTCCCCCTACTGGCCTCAACCAACCTGCGGGCTTGTTGCATTGACTTAGATTATATTGTCAAATTAAACGATAAATGATTAAATAGGCTGAGTTGAGCGAATAGGTAAACTTAAAGTCCTAAAACTAAAAACTTATTATTAATTATAGATCTAAATGATGTTCCTAACTTGAACTGCTTTAAGACTTAAGACCAACGTCATGTCTATTCCCAGTCGGCTATTATTTCATGCAAAATACAACTGGGAATAATATCTTACAATAACAAAAGCATTTATTGTGACTGGAGAGTGAGGCATAGGAGAGCAGAGCGATTTATTTTCTGTTTTATATTTTATAAGAAAAAATAGTATGGTTTAAGTTTACTTTAGATTCATTCCTTAGATCAGATTCATTCCTTAGATCTGTAACATAGAGGATCAATTAGGCACTCTAAATCTAAACTAAATTAATTAGCGCATAATAGTAATTTAAAAAAAAAAAATAATATTAATTATGCATCAGTTTAATGTGTGTTCACATTGCTTTTCAACTGTCAATTACCTTTTAAAATTCACATAGAATAAATATCAGGTCCTTTTTAATCAGTTTTTATGCAAATTTCCATCTCAATTGTCCCAAGGTATTTTTCTCTTAGCAAAAAATCTAAGGGACTTGTCTTTTTTTCTACAAATATGCCTGCAATCATGTAAGAACCGAATAACAATTTAGGAAAGTAACCCTTTCATGGATAATGGCAAAATATTTGGATAAAATAATGAATGCAAAAGGTATGAAGGCATTTGATGACCTGAACCAGCAACATCTGGCACGACAGCCACTACATATCCACTCGACCACACAGCTTCATTAATTTTTAGTCATTTTACTAAAGTTTAAAAGAAGTTTAAGTAATTAAAAATGGATTAAGAATCATGTCTATATCCCGAGTTGCCATCCCCGATAATGTCATATAAGAATATTTGAGAATGTTTAGGGGAGATCACTCCCGGTTTATTAACATTAAACTTTAAACACTAAAAAACCTAAGAAGTTAGGCGTTGTGTACTCTATATTTAATTTATTAGTTTCTTAGCCTATTACTTTAAAGTTGCCTAGGTCAAATCAGTATTATCAGTTAAAAGAATTTTAAAAGTCACCTAATTTATATTCTCTCATTAACTCTTTTGTACAAATCTTAATGAAAAATAACTAAACTTTTATAGAGAAGCCACTCAAGAAGAAATTGATAATTTATGTACAACCATCAGTGAGTTACTGACCCAACCAGACAAGTCATCTGAAGCCTCCAGTCTTTTGAGGCAGCTCTTTATAATTTTACAAGCATCAGAAATAAACGCAGAGCCATGGTACAGTAATATTCTCTTGTTTTCTGGGTGCTATATTTATGTTCTGGGTGCAAAGCACAATTATAGTGCAGTGTTATTGTTGAGAATGTTCAAATGAAAGTCAGACTCCCAGACCACATTGAGACTTCATGCTGCAATAGAAAATATTTGTTGTTCAACAATACATGTATTATCTTATTTGTTGCTATCTGTAAATATTAATTGGAATAATTTCTAGTATCATTAATTTTGAAGTCATGTGACTCAAATATTTTGGAATAGTGGGGGCTGGGAGTTCTTAAGGTTAAAGGAGGTAGTAGGAAATTATTAGTGAATGATGAATGATTTAATAAATGTGGTTAGAGTTAATGAATGTGGACATTTTTTTTTAAATTGAATAAAAAATAAAATAGTAGATTCTTCCAAAACAAAAGGTTTACCCATTTAAAAAATGTTTTTCAAATATACTTGCCAATACATTTAATAGAGACTATATATCCTTCAACCAGCATCCCACCAAGTCTGATAAAAAGTATGCTTCATATTGTGAGCACAACTAACCAACATAAAGGACAAGGGACAGGATCAAAATGTCAGCTCTGTCAGATGGTCATTTCAGAGTTACTTCCCATGGACAATCCAATTGATGGTCTACATTGTAATTTCAGTCTTGAAGAAACTAATGTTAAATTAGGTACCCTTAGCTTGTTACAAGTAAGTGTACTTTCATCATCTTAATTTCTTAAATAATTCTCAAATTATTTAATATGTCCAACTTAGATATGGATTATGTTTATAATTGTAAATTGTAATATATTTTTATTTTAGGATATACATTCTCAGTGCATATTTAATTCATTACCTGACATTGTCAAGTAAGTGCTCATTGAACATTAGCCTTTTCTGCTTTGTTATAAGTAAAATTCTTATTTACAAATTTAAAACTTTTCAAGTTCCTTTATTTGTAATTTAAAATGTATAATACAATTTATTAAAGATTATATCAAAGTAACCAATGTTTGATTTGCCATTTTCTCCATCTACTACTAAAGATTGTACTTTTTAGAAACTGCAAAATAAAAAATTTTTTTGTAAGAAGAGTTATGAGCCCCTCCTTTCATTTCTCTTGTTTCAGATGGCTGCAGTCTCAAGACTTTGAAAAACAAAAATCTGGTCTGTTTCTGATGACACTAGTTTCCTATGCTCACGGCAAGTCAGTACAGACTGGTGTTTTAGCTGACACAAGTAAAAAACTGTCCCAATGGCTCAGCTCTGCCAGTCTGTGTCAGGCCCCAAACCCCAGGACATTGAACCCATTTAGGAAAGATGAAGAGAACAGCGTGACTGAAATAGATGGAACAGCCAACACCAACATTTTTACTGTGCTAAGTTTAGGTCAGTGGCTGATTGATTGCACCCTGCTATCAAGATTATTTAAAGTTAAAAGGTTTGCCTTGAAAAAACTTTTCTAGGATATTTGTTTTGTCGTGTAACTTACAGTAACCTTCATAGGTCAATATTACACAAAGGACCAGCTTCTCAATGTCTTTCACTCTCTCATAGGTCAATATTACACAAAGGACCAGCTTCTCAATGTCTTTCACTGTCTCTCTCATAGGTCAATATTACACAAAGGACCAACTTCTCAATGTCTTTCACTCTCTCATAGGTCAATATTACACAAAGGACCAACTTCTCAATGTCTTTCACTGTCTCTCTCATAGGTCAATATTACACAAAGGACCAACTTCTCAATCTTTCACTCTCTCATAGGTCAATATTACACAGAGGACCAACTTCTCAATGTCTTTCACTCTCTCATAGGTCAATATTATACAAAGGACTAACTTCTCAATGTCTTTCACTCTCTCATATTGACCTATGAGAGAGTGAAAGACATTGAGAAGTTGGTCCTCTGTGTAATATTGACCTATGAGAGAGTGAAAGACATTGTAATATTGACCTATTATACAAAGATATTGACCTATTATACAAAGGACTAACTTCTCAATGTCTTTCACTCTCTCATACGTCAATATTACACAGAGGACCAACTTCTCAATGTCTTTCACTGTCTCTCTCATAGGTCAATATTACACAAAGGATCAGCTTCTCAATGTCTTTCACTCTCTCATAGGTCAATATTACACAAAGGACCAACTTCTCAATGTCTTTCACTCTCTCATAGGTCAATATTACACAGAGGACCAGCTTCTCAATGTCTTTAGCTTTTCCTGCTTGTACAAGTGGATTCTGGGAGTGAGTTCCAGCCTGGCTGATGTATCAGAGACCAGCTGTGTGAGCCCAGACACTGAGGTCATCATACAGAAGGTGGTTGGTGCTCTGGTTCCCAAGTCTGTGGACTACTGTCTCAGGGTGCTGGAGCAGAGTGAGAGAAGTGAGTGACTAGACATGTGGTCCTAGTGGCTAGATATGTGGTCCAAGTGGCTAGACATGTGGTCCATGTGGCTAGACATGTGGTCCTAGTGGCTAGATATGTGGTCCTAGTGGCTAGATATGTGGTCCATGTGGCTAGATATGTGGTCCATGTGGCTAGATATGTGGTCCTAGTGGCTAGATATGTGGTCCATGTGGCTAGATATGTGGTCCATGTGGCTAGATATGTGGTCCATGTGGCTAGATATGTGGTCCATGTGGCTAGATATGTGGTCCTAGTGGCTAGATATGTGGTCCATGTGGCTAGATATGTGGTCCTAGTGGCTAGATATGTGGTCCATGTGGCTAGATATGTGGTCCATGTGGCTAGATATGTGGTCCATGTGGCTAGATATGTGGTCCATGTGGCTAGATATGTGGTCCATGTGGCTAGATATGTGGTCCATGTGGCTAGATATGTGGTCCATGTGGCTAGATATGTGGTCCAAGTGGCTAGATATGTGGTCCTAGTGGCTAGATATGTGGTCCATGTGGCTAGATATGTGGTCCATGTGGCTAGATATGTGGTCCATGTGGCTAGATATGTGGTCCTAGTGGCTAGATATGTGGTCCTAGTGGCTAGATATGTGGTCCTAGTGGCTAGATATGTGGTCCATGTGGCTAGACATGTGGTCCATGTGGTGAGAGATGTGGTCCAAGTGGCTAGATATGTGGTCCATGTGGCTAGATATGTGGTCCATGTGGCTAGATATGTGGTCCAAGTGGCTAGATATGTGGTCCTAGTGGCTAGATATGTGGTCCATGTGGCTAGACATGTGGTCCTAGTGGCTAGATATGTGGTCCAAGTGGCTAGATATGTGGTCCTAGTGGCTAGATATGTGGTCCATGTGGCTAGATATGTGGTACATGTGGCTAGATATGTGGTCCAAGTGGCTAGATATGTGGTCCTAGTGGCTAGATATGTGGTCCATGTGGCTAGACATGTGGTCCTAGTGGCTAGATATGTGGTCCTAGTGGCTAGATATGTGGTCCATGTGGCTAGACATGTGGTCCTAGTGGCTAGAGATATGTGGTCCAAGTGGCTAGACATGTGGTCCAGGTGGTGAGAGATGTGGTCCAAGTGGGGAGAGATGTGGTCCATGTGGCTAGATATGTGGTCCACGTGGGGAGAGATGTGGTCTACGTGGCTAGATATGTGGTCCACGTGGGGAGAGATGTGGTCCACGTGGCTAGATATGTGGTCCATGTGGTGAGAGATGTGGTTCAAGTGGGGAGAGATGTGGTCCACATGGCTAGATATTTGGTCCATGTGGCTAGACATGTGACTAGATATGTGGTATACAGGGACCTGGTCAATAGACACCTAGTCTATAGATATGTGGCCCATGTAGAGAGACATGTGGTATACAGTGACCTGGTCAATAGACACCTAGTCTATAGATATGTGGCCCATGTAGAGAGACATATGGTATACAGGGACCTGGTCTATAGACACCTAGTCTATAGATATGTGGCCCATGTAGAGAGACATATGGTATACAGGGACCTGGTCTATAGACACTTCATTTATGTACACCTGGTCTGTAGACATCTAGTCTATGCACATGTGGCCAATAGACACTTAGTTTATAGGCACCTGGTCTATAGACACCTGTTCTGTAGGCACCTGGTGTCTAGATACCTGGTCTATAGACACCTGGTCAATAGACACCTGCTGTGTTTCTTTAAGCATCTCTGCAGGTGGGCTGTATCCTCCTCACCCTCACAGAACAAAATAGAAAAACAAAATTAAATTGATATAGAAAATGTATACTTCAACCATTGTTGCCTTTCCCTCTCCTACTGGAAGTTTCAAGTGCCTCCTCCCCCCCCCCCCCCAAGAAAAATGCCTTTAAAAATTCTGGGCACCTGGCCGCCTATAGACACCTGATTTGCACCCACCTGGCAGACATATGGCCTGTTTTGTATATCCAGTTTTATTCCATTGAGTGGAAAATAATGTAAACTACCTTGAATGGTTTGAGGGACAATTCACCATGTTTGACTTGGTTAAGTTTTTAAGTACCAAATACAAATATTTAATATCAAGATTCTAACAAGTTGATATCGTGGAACAATATAAACCATCCTAAAACTATAGTTGACATATTGCTAGTGAAACAAAATTTAGTGTAAAGAAATGTTTTTTTCTCTTTCCATCAGAGGCCAAAGTCCAGTCAGACGTAGAGCTTCAAGCTGCAGTAAGTTTTTTTTTCTGTGAAAAAATTTTTCTTAAGTTGTCAGATCATTTTAATAACAAAACATTTTATTGAATGGTAATACTTTGACCAGATGGCAAAAAATGTGTGACACAAAGACATTTAAAAAAAGGTGACATAATTTAATGGAATTTTAATTTTTAAACTACTGTATACTGATATATAATCAAAGAATATAAAACTTCAGTTTAAGATGTGTTAAAACAAAACTTGTTGTTGAAATTTAAGGTTTCATGTTTTTCCACTTGAGTATTAAATCCTTACAGCATTAGCTTCATCTGTTATGCTGAGTTTTTGTTCTCAGGGTTTGAAGTACATGTTCATGTTTTCTGTTCCAGTGTCTAATAGAGGCTGTCCAAGTTTTAGACATGGTCTGTACTTTAGACAAAGGTCAAACGGCTCATGTGTTCCAGGAGTTAAAGAGGCTCAACTCACGGCTAATCCAGGATTGTCTCCCCTCCCCTGCTCTCATTTATATCTTAAAATTTTATTTTCACCACAGTAAGCAATTTGATTTTTAGTAAAAAAAAACATTTTAAATTCATTGAAATATAGGTATGATAAATCTACCCATAATGCTATTTTAACTTTAAAATTAAAATAAGCATACATAATTGTCTATTATAGTAACTTTTAAGGGTTCATTTTGTTCAATTAATTAAACATTGATCCATTATTAATTGCTTGTTCACAATTTTTAAAGTAAGATGTTAAATATTCTCTTGCTTCCTTAAGTGTTGGGCATAGGTAAATGTCCATCTTGTTGTCCAGCACTAAATGATGTAAATGTCCAACTTATTGTCTAGGACTAAATGATGAAAATGTCCATCCTATTGTCCAGCACTAAATGATGTAAATGTCCATCTTATTGTCTAGGACTAGATGATGTAAATGTCCATCTTGTTTTCCAGCACTAAATGATGTAAATGTTTACCTTATTGTCCAGCACTAGATGATGTAAATGTCCATCTTATTGTCCTGCACTAAATGATGTATATGTCCATCCTGTTGTCCAACACTAAATGATGTAAATGTTTACCTTATTGTCTAGGACTAAATGATGTAAATGTCCATCTTATTGTCCAGCACTAAATGATGTAAATGTTTACCTTATTGTCCAGCACTAGATGATGTAAATGTCCATCTTGTTTTCCAGCACTAAATGATGTAAATGTCTACCTTATTGTCCAGCACTAAATTATGTAAATGTTTACCTTATTGTCCAGCACTAAATGATGTAAATGTCCATCTTATTGTCCAGGACTAAATGATGTAAATGTCCATCTTGTTTTCCAGCACTAAATGATGTAAATGTCTACCTTATTGTCCAGCACTAAATGATGTAAATGTTTACCTTATTGTCCAGCACTAAATGATGTAAATGTCCATCTTATTGTCCAGCACTAAATGATGTAAATGTCCATCTTGTTTTCCAGCACTAAATGATGTAAATGTCTACCTTATTGTCCAGCACTAAATGATGTAAATGTTTACCTTATTGTCCAGCACTAGATGATGTAAATGTCCATCCTGTTGTCCAGCACTAAATGATGTAAATGTCCATCTTATTGTCCAGCACTAAATGATGTAAATGTTTACCTTATTGTCCAGCACTAGATGATGTAAATGTCCATCTTATTGTCCAGCACTAAATGATGTATATGTCCATCCTGTTGTCCAGCACTAAATGATGTAAATGTCCATCTTATTGTCCAGCACTAAATGATGTAAATGTTTACCTTATTGTCCAGCACTAGATGATGTAAATGTCCATCATATTGTCCAGCACTAAATGATGTAAATGTCCATCCTGTTGTCCAGCACTAAATGATGTAAATGTTTACCTTATTGTCCAGCACTAAATGATGTAAATGTTTACCTTATTGTCCAGCACTAGATGATGTAAATGTCCATCCTGTTGTCCAGCACTAAATGATGTAAATGTCCATCTTATTGTCCAGCACTAAATGATGTAAATGTCCACCATATTGTCCAGCACTAGATGATGTAAATGTCCATCCTGTTGTCCAGCACTAAATGATGTAAATGTCCATCTTATTGTCCAGCACTAAATGATGAAAATGTCCATCTTATTGTCCACAGGTTCCACTGTTGTCCATGACCCTCGTGAGACATTTCGCCACTTTTTTTCCACGATCATCTCGGCCCAGTTCAAGGACCAAGGTCTGGTGTACGATGCAGTAGAGTTTCTCTACTCCAACCTATCTGAGCTGGCTGACACAACTAATATACTCACAGCTTTCTTTCCTAATTTGTTTAAGGTAACTTTTGTCATATACTTGTACAAACCTTTACTTCCAGCATAGAAACATCATACAGCAACTTTAAACTTGTTCATCATACAGCACTTTAAACTTGTTCATCATACAGCAACTTTAAACTTGTTCATCATACAGCAACTTTAAACTTGTTCATCATACAGCAACTTTAAACTTGTTCATCATACAGCAACTTTAAACTTGTTCATCATACAGCACTTTAAACTTGTTCATCATACAGCAACTTTAAACTTGTTCATCATACAGCAACTTTAAACTTGTTCATCATACAGCAACTTTAAACTAGTTCATCATACAGCACTTTAAACTTGTTCATCATACAGCAACTTTAAACTTGTTCATCATACAGCAACTTTAAACTTGTTCATCATACAGCAACTTTAAACTTGTTCATCATACAGCAACTTTAAACTTGTTCATCATACAGCAACTTTAAACTTGTTCATCATACAGCAACTTTAAACTTGTTCATCATACAGCAACTTTAAACTTGTTCATCATACAGCAACTTTAAACTTGTTCATCATACAGCAATTTTAAACTTGTTCATCATACAGCAACTTTAAACTTGTTCATGATACAGCAACTTTAAACTTGTTCATCATACAGCAACTTTAAAATTGCTTTTTTCACACTGTAAAGTTGAGACATGAACATTTGTTATTTTATCAATATTAAAACATTGAATTCATAGTAGCATAGATAGTTAATGCTTTCATTCATCAATTAGTTTATTGAGCTAAAATTGTCTTATACCATGAGCCAGATGGACATTACCATACAAGCAAAGAGTCCTGTAGAGATATTCAGGGGTGCCACTTTTCCGGGATATCCCGGATTTCCGGATTCGAGAATCATATTTTTTTCCCTTTCCGGATTCGCAAGATTTGAGTTTGAAAATTTCCGGGTTTGCATTTTTAAAAAAATTTAGATCGTTTTAAGCTTGAAAATTTTGGCATTGTAAAAATCGTTTTTATCGTCAACACTCCCGCTAATGGCCTTTTCCGAAAAAAATGAATAGTAAATGACGTCAGCAACAATCTCACGCGTGCGCCAAGGACCAAATAAAAATCAGCTGTATCAGATGGGTGAGGCTGTAGACGAAACTTTTTGATGTCATTCGTGGTGTGGTTGTCTGGCTATTTATGACGATATGGGTTGGGGGTAAAACTCGCATTATTTACGTGATGTCATCAATGGGATACCGCTAGGCTGTGTAATAAAAACAACTAAAGCCTACAAGTACTAGATCAAGCTCACTAGCATCGCCGATGGTCTTTAAAAAAAAAAAGAAACCGAAAGATTTTGCTCCGATCAAAAAAAAAATCATTTTTTTTTGTATTTGGTATTACCAAAAGAAAAGAAAAAAACTATTTGAAGGACTATTTTATGTATTTTTACCACCTCTTACCCGCTTCTTCAAGGTCGCGCTGACCGTAAGACCTACGTCACGAGACCACGCAAGCACAGTCTGAGTCGTGTCTCTCGGTCAAGGCAGTTCTACAAGTACAAGCGCTGTTTAATTTTAACGTGGTTATTTTTAATAAGGGCCTACTTCTAGATTCAAGAAAAAAAACTAGAACTGCATCGTTTTATATCATTAAACAAAATATGTAGGCCTGCTATAATTTAGTTACACAATCTAGCAGGGTCTACATCTAATTGTTTTTTTTTTTACTTTGGTAAAACGTCATTGAAATGTTTAAAAAACCTTGAAGTACCGTGTCTGAGAAAATAGCCGCTATCACTGCCCCCTCCCAACCGCTTGTAAAAAAAAATCAGCTTTTCACTTAGTCGGGCGGCTACATCTCTGACATGAGTATTACTAGCGTAGTTACTTCTAAAATTATTTTTAAAATTAACTTAATTCTGTTATTCCGCGATATGGACTTAAAACCCACAATATTTCTTCACGTCATCATGTATATCAATAGTGGGGTCGTTCATAAATGACGTCACACTCGTAAGGGGAGGGGGGTTCGTAATTTTGTCATGAGGGGGAGAGGTTCAGATGGTGTGACATCACACTTTTGCATTATCCAAAAGCTATGTTAGAAAACGAATTTCAGCCGTTATTTCGCGTTTTAGAATATTGTTTCAATAAAGTGTAATAGGAATTGATTAAAATACTCTATGTTGACAGAGGTCAGACAAGATTTTTGGAAAATATCGTATTTTAAGAAAAATTCGACTGCAATTTTTAGGGGTGGGGGGGGGTGTAGGCTGAGGTGTGACGTCATTTTAGAGGGCGGGGTCTGGCTTTTTGTGACAGATATGTGACCGAGGGGAGGTGGGAGGTAATAATCGTCAAAAAGCGTGAGATCATTTATGGATGACCCCATTGGTGGTTGATTGGGAAAACAGGGTTTTAGGTTTTTGTTGTGGCTGTTAATAATTAAAGCCTTGAATAGCTACAGTAAGTCAACCCTGTATTTTAATACAGTGACAATCTTATTAGGGGTCTGCATATAGTGCGCTTATTATTCAATAACAAGACATAGAGGTTAGCAATTGGCTGACTACACACTTTAAATCAAGCTAGGAAGTTCTCAAAAATTAAATACAGTAATGTTATAAAAGCTGGCTGGGAGGGGGGGGGGGGTCTACAATAGCACATTATGGGGTAGGCCTAGAGATGGGTGGGACTAACATTGTAAACTAATTTTGTTGTAAGCACAATCCTTTAAAGATTAATTTTTATTTCAAGCTTGTTACAAAGAAAATAAATCCATTTTAAAGGAATGTAAATTGAACATAATATGAATCAAATGTCTCAAAAAATAATGAAATAATAGTCCATTTTATTTTGAAATTCTGCGCGAAATTAAGTTTCAGGGTTTCAAAAATTTCAAATTTTAGTTTCAGGATTGGTAAAATTTTGGGATTCATTTTCAGGATTCACTTAGAAAATGAGTGGCACCCCTGGATATTATAAACTCTAGTCTTTTTTTTTTCATTCAACTGCTTTTTAAAAAAAAAAAACAACCTAAGGTTAAAGGAACATTTGGAAAGCTTTAATGGCCAATATACAACACAGTGGTCACTAAACCTTTGTGTCACCATCCTATATACAACACAGTGGTCACTAAACCTTTGTGTCACCATCTTATGGCCAATATACAACACAGTGGTCACTAAACCTTTGTGTCACCATCCTATATACAACACAGTGGTCACTAAACCTTTGTGTCACCATCCAATATACAACACAGTGGTCACTAAACCTTTGTGTCACCATCCTATATACAACACAATGGTCACTAAACCTTTGTGTCACCATCTTATGGCCAATATACAACACAGTGGTCACTAAACCTTTGTGTCACCATCCTATATACAACACAGTGGTCACTAAACCTTTGTGTCACCATCCAATATACAACACAGTGGTCACTAAACCTTTGTGTCACCATCCAATATACAACACAGTGGTCACTAAACCTTTGTGTCACCATCCAATATACAACACAGTGGTCACTAAACTTTTGTGTCACCATCCAATATACAACACAGTGGTCACTAAACCTTTGTGTCACCATCCTATATACAACACAGTGGTCACTAAATCTTTGTGTCACCATCCAATATACAACACAGTGGTCACTAAACCTTTGTGTCACCATCCTATATACAACACAGTGGTCACTTAACCTTTGTGTCACCATCCAATATACAACACAGTGGTCACTAAACCTTTGTGTCACCATCCTATATACAACAAAGTGGTCACTAAACCTTTGTGTCACCATCCAATATACAACACAGTGGTCACTAAACCTTTGTGTCACCATCCTATATACAACACAGTGGTCACTAAACCTTTGTGTCACCATCCAATATACAACACAGTGGTCACTAAACCTTTGTGTCACCATCCTATATACAACACAGTGGTCACTAAACCTTTGTGTCACCATCCAATATACAACACAGTGGTCACTAAACCTTTGTGTCACCATCCTATATACAACACAGTGGTCACTAAACCTTTGTGTCACCATCTTATGGCCAATATACAACACAGTGGTCACTAAACCTTTGTGTCACCATCCTATGGTCACTAAACCATTGTGTCACCAACCTATGATCATTAAACCTTTGTGTCACCATCCTATGGTCACTTAACCTTTGTGTCACCATCCTATGGTCACTAAACCTTTGTGTCACCATCTTATGGCCAATATACAACACAGTGGTCACTAAACCTTTGTGTCACCATCCTATGGTCACTAAACCTTTGTGTCACCAACCTATGGTCACTAAACCTTTGTGTCACCATCCTATGGTCACTTAACCTTTGTGTCACCATCCTATGGTCACTTAACCTTTGTGTCACCATCCTATGGTCACTAAACCTTTGTGTCACCATCCTATGGTCACTAAACCTTTGTGTCACCATCCTATATACAACACAGTGGTCACTAAACCTTTGTGTCACCATCCTATATACAACACAGTGGTCACTAAACCTTTGTGTCACCATCCTATGGTCACTTAACCTTTGTGTCACCATCCTATGGTCACTAAACCTTTGTGTCACCATCCTATGGTCACTAAACCTTTGTGTCACCATCCTATGGTCACTTAACCTTTGTGTCACCATCCTATGGTCACTAAACCTTTGTGTCACCATCCTATGGTCACTAAACCTTTGTGTCACCATCCCATGGTCACTAAACCTTTGTGTCACCATCCTATGGTCAATATACAACACAGTGGTCACTAAACCATTGTGTTACCATCCTATGGTCACTAAACCTTTGTGTCACCATCCTATGGCCAATATAAAACACAGTGGTCACTAAACCATTGTGTTACCAACCTATGGTCACTAAACCTTTGTGTCACCATCCTATGGCCAAAATACAACACAGTGGTTACTAAATCTTTGTGTCACCATCCTATGGTCACTAAACCTTTGTGTCACCATCCTATGGCCAAAATACAACACAGTGGTTACTAAACCTTTGTGTCACCATCCTATGGTCACTAAACCTTTGTGTCACCATCCTATGGTCAATATACAACACAGTGGTCACTAAATCTTTGTGTCACCATCATATGGTCAATATACAACACAGTGGTCACTAAACCTTTGTGTCACCATCCTATGGTCACTAAACCTTTGTGTCACCATCCTATGGTCACTAAACCTTTGTGTCACCATCCTATGGTCAATATACAACACAGTGGTCACTAAATCTTTGTGTCACCATCATATGGTCAATATACAACACAGTGGTCACTAAACCTTTGTGTCACCACCCAAGAACACAGAATATCTTATCCACGCCTCCAAATACCAGTCACACACAGACTAATTCCTTAGGAGACAAACAGTTGTGATGATTTATGTAACTGTTCTGTCAGATATGTGCATATGGACACACCCCGTACCCTTAGTTGCCCGGGGCCCATATTAAAGTGAGCTCTATCCCCTCTTACATAAACTAGTTTTATAAGTGTATTTACAATTTCTAAAAATGTTTCCCTTTTTACTGTGCATCAGTTAAATACAATGGAGGTGCATGTGAGGTTCTGACAGCCAAACCTGGGCATAAACTGCCTGAAGGAAACAATCATTTGATAAACAAATACAGTAAACACTGAAGCTTTTACCTCCTCCTAATACATCTGTTCTTTGAATCAGTTCAATCAGTGCTTTTAGAGGAGTTCCTTGGTTTAAAAAAAACATCTAGTTCAGTCAGTGCTTTTAGGTGAATTCATTGTTTTTGTTTACAAATTTGATATTAACTAGGTGTGAAATATCCCAAGAACTGGGACCAGTTTTTTAACTTTTATGATGTTGTGAATTTAGAAAGTAATTGTACTTTTCATTATATAAAGGTCTGCAACAATATAAGAATATGACTAGATTTTCTTTCCATTTTGTGTGTGTTCAAAAGCATTTTAGAGTGTCTACAGTAAGTTCCTACATCTACCTGTATTACATCAGTAGAGCCTTGTGTTGAGTACGTGAGATGTATATGACATGTGAGATGATAATGATATGCATATGACATGTGGGGGTGGGGGAAATTAAACTCAAGGTTGTTCGGATGACACATGCAGTCTGAATGTTGATGGGCCAAAAACACCCAGGTACATTGGCTGTGATTAGAAAAACATCTTTGTATGAACCGGCACTTTATTTTTGGCACAGATCTTGGCATGGCACCCAAGACTTTTTATGAATGAGTTTACAATGATCCTGCCTGCAATGATGAACTGGGACACCTCCATCGAGGTTAGTTTTTTTTTTTTACCATTGTTTACATACACTCATGTTTTGTTCTAAAAATAGATTTTCTTCTAACAATAGGCGCACTTCATAGTCACAGGCGGCTGTTACTATATCTGTCAGTATACATCAAATTCTTTGGCTGTCAGTTTATATAAACTCAAATCAGCTTGTTTACAGTCCTCAGATATTTCACTTACTACTGGACCTTTTGTCCCCAGATATTTCACTTACTACTGGACCTTTTGTCCCCAGATATTTCATGTACTGCTGGACCTTTTTTCCCCAGATATTTCATTTATTACTGGACCTTTTGTTCCCAGATATTTCACTTACTACTAGACCTTTTGTCCCCAGATATTTCACTTACTACAGGACCTTTTTTCCCCAGATATTTCATGTACTGCTGGACCTTTTTTCCCCAGATATTTCATTTATTACTGGACCTTTTGTTCCCAGATATTTCACTTACTACTAGACCTTTTGTCCCCAGATATTTCACTTACTACTGGACCTTTTTTCCCCAGATATTTCATGTACTGCTGGACCTTTTGTCCCCAGATATTTCACTTACTACTGGACCTTTTTTCCCCAGATATTTCACTTACTGCTGGACCTTTTGTCCCCAGATATTTCACTTACTACTGGACCTTTTGTCCCCAGATATTTCATGTACTGCTGGACCTTTTTTCCCCAGATATTTCATTTATTACTGGACCTTTTGTTCCCAGATATTTAACTTACTACTAGACCTTTTGTCCCCAGATATTTCACTTACTACAGGACCTTTTTTCCCCAGATATTTCATGTACTGCTGGACCTTTTTTCCCCAGATATTTCATTTATTACTGGACCTTTTGTTCCCAGATATTTCACTTACTACTAGACCTTTTGTCCCCAGATATTTCACTTACTACTGGACCTTTTTTCCCCAGATATTTCATGTACTGCTGGACCTTTTGTCCCCAGATATTTCACTTACTACTGGACCTTTTTTCCCCAGATATTTCATGTACTGCTGGACCTTTTGTCCCCAGATATTTCACTTACTACTGGACCTTTTGTCCCCAGATATTTCATGTACTGCTGGACCTTTTGTCCCCAGATATTTCATTTATTACTGGACCTTTTGTTCCCAGATATTTCACTTACTGCTGGACCTTTTTTCCCCAGATATTTCATGTACTGCTGGACCTTTTGTCCCCAGATATTTCACTTACTACTGGACCTTTTGTCCCCAGATATTTCATGTACTGCTGGACCTTTTGTCCCCAGATATTTCATTTATTACTGGACCTTTTGTTCCCAGATATTTCACTTACTGCTGGACCTTTTTTCCCCAGATATTTCATGTACTGCTGGACCTTTTGTCCCCAGATATTTCACTTACTACTGGACCTTTTGTCCCCAGATATTTCACTTACTACTGACCTTTTGTCCCCAAATATTTCATTTATTACTGGACCTTTTGTCCCCAGATATTTCACTTACTACTGACCTTTTGTCCCCAGATATTTCATTTATTACTGGACCTTTTGTTCCCAGATATTTCACTTACTGCTGGACCTTTTTTCCCCAGATATTTCATGTACTGCTGGACCTTTTGTCCCCAGATATTTCACTTACTACTGGACCTTTTGTCCCCAGATATTTCACTTACTACTGACCTTTTGTCCCCAAATATTTCATTTATTACTGGACCTTTTGTTCCCAGATATTTCACTTACTACTGGACCTTTTGTCCCCAGATATTTCACTTACTGCTAGACCTACCCTGCATGACAGCAGCCTTAGAAGTGATGGAGAAAGTGAAAAAGCTGGAGCCATCCACAACCCCAATTGATGTTGAGCCAAGTAATTCTGTTGATGCCTTTAACAGTCCACGGTTTAGGCCTTTGTTTAATTACATCACGCGCAGTGAGAGTGGTCAAGGTGATACCATTGACAGGTGTGTCTCATGTCTCTGTTGTCTTATGGTTCCATGACAAATGTTCTCAGGAAAAATGATCTCTGACAAAATATCCCAGTCAAAATATCTCACAGACAAATAATCTCAAGGAAAAATAATCTCACAGACAAAAGGTATATTTAGGACAAATGGTATCATGGACAAAGTCCACTACCCTATCTGTGATGCAGGGCCCTCTACCCCATCCCTGATGCAGGGCCCTCTACCCCATCCCTGATACAGGGCCCTCTACCCCATCCCTGATGCAGGACCCTCTACCCCATCCCTGATACAGGGCCCTCTACCCCATCCCTGATGCAGGACCCTCTACCCCATCCCTGATACAGGGCCCTCTACCCCATCCCTGATACAGGGCCCTCTACCCCATCCCTGATACAGGGCCCTCTACCCCATCCCTGATACAGGGCCCTCTACCCCATCCCTGATACAGGGCCCTCTACCCCATCCCTGATACAGGGCCCTCTACCCCATCCCTGATACAGGGCCCTCTACCCCATCCCTGATACAGGGCCCTCTACCTAATCCTTGATATACCAGACTGTCAAGTCTACACCCTGTACTTAAAGACTGTCAAGTCTACACTAACTTGTCCAATCTCTACCAGACTGTCAAGTCTACACTAACTTGTCCAATCTCTACCAGACTGTTAAGTCTACACCCTGTACTTAAAGACTGTCAAGTCTACACTAACTTGTCCAATCTCTACCAGACTGTCAAGTCTACACTAACTTGTCCAATCTGTACCAGACTGTCAAGTCTACACCCTGTACTTAAAGACTGTCAAGTCTACACTAACTTGTCCAATCTCTACCAGACTGTCAAGTCTACACTAACTTGTCCAATCTGTACCAGACTGTCAAGTCTACACCCTGTACTTAAAGACTGTCAAGTCTACACTCTATACCAGACTGTCAAGTCTACACTAACTTGTCCAATCTGTACCAGACTGTCAAGTCTACACTCTATACCAGACTGTCAAGTCTACACTAACTTGTCCAATTTGTACCAGACTGTCAAGTCTACACTAACTTGTCCAATTTGTACCAGACTGTCAAGTCTACACTAACTTGTCCAATCTATACCAGACTGTCAAGTCTACACTAACTTGTCCAATCTGTACCAGACTGTCAAGTCTACACTAACTTGTCCAATCTGTACCAGACTGTCAAGTCTACACTAAGTTGTCCAATCTATACCAGACTGTCAAGTCTACACTAACTTGTCCAATTCGTACCAGACTGTCAAGTCTACACTAACTTGTCCAATCTATACCAGACTGTCAAGTCTACACTAACTTGTCCAATCTGTACCAGACTGTCAAGTCTACACTAACTTGTCCAATCTGTACCAGACTGTCAAGTCTACACTAAGTTGTCCAATCTATACCAGACTGTCAAGTCTACACTAACTTGTCCATTCTATACCAGACTGTCAAGTCTACACTAACTTGTCCAATCTATACCAGACTGTCAAGTCTACACTAACTTGTCCAATCTATACCAGACTGTCAAGTCTACACTAACTTGTCCATTCTATACCAGACTGTCAAGTCTACACTAACTTGTCCAATCTATACCAGACTGTCAAGTCTACACTAACTTGTCCAATCTATACCAGACTGTCAAGTCTACACTAACTTGTCCAATCTATACCAGACTGTCAAGTCTACACTAACTTGTCCAATCTATACCAGACTGTCAAGTCTACACTAACTTGTCCATTCTATACCAGACTGTCAAGTCTACACTAACTTGTCCATTCTATACCAGACTGTCAAGTCTACACTAACTTGTCCAATCTATACCAGACTGTCAAGTCTACACTAACTTGTCCATTCTATACCAGACTGTCAAGTCTACACTCTGTACTAAAAGACTGTCAGGGCAGCACGCGTGTCATGGTCTGCAGTCAGCTGGTCCCCATATTACTCAGGTAAAACATTCTGTATTCTAGAGCTGGTAATTTATGGGTAAAACATTCTATATTCTGTATTCTAGATCTGGTAATGTAGGGGTTAAACACTCTACATTCTGTATTCTAAAGCTAGTAATATATGGGTTAAACATTTTAGATATGGCAATGTATGGGTTAAACATTTAAAAACTGGCAAGGAATAGGTTTGAATCATTCTAGATGTGGCAATAAATGGGTTAAAATGTACTAGAATAAAATTAATTAAGAGAGCCTAACTATTTAACTCACTGTGCATGTTTCTACAGAATTTGGTTTAAATCTGTCCAGACCAGTGAAGACCCAGCATTCATTGGACTTTTGATTCCTGTTATTCTTGAGAGATCTGGAATCATTTACAGCATACCTGAGCTGATAGAGGATGTACACAGGTGAGATACATGCAGTTGTTTCACCTGTTTCACAAGCTTTCTCTCTTTTCACTTTTTACAAGTTCAATAGGTCAAAAGAAAAAAAATTACGTAATTCTTACAAAATTAAATTATTAAATTAAAAATTAAAAATTGTAAATAATGTATATTTTTTGTGGTAGGCATTGTTTTAAAAAATTTGATGATAAAAAAACCAAATATTTTAAATAGAATGTTAAAATACACATTATTTCTAGGATATTTGCCCAACAGAATATTAAAGTATCCATTGTGTCTAGACTGTTAAAATGCCCATTGTGTCTACAGTGTTAAAATACTTATTGTGTTTAAAGTGTTAAAATGCCCATTGTGTCTAAAGTGTTAAGATACCCATGGTGTCTAGAATGTTAAGATGCCCCATGTGTCTAGAATGTTAAGATGCCCCATGTGTCTAGAATGTTAAGATGCCCCATGTGTCTAGAATGTTAAGATGCCCCATGTGTCTAGAATGTTAAGATGCCCCTTGTGTCTAGAATGTTAAGATGCCCCATGTGTCTAGAATGTTAAGATGCCCCTTGTGTCTAGAATGTTAAGATGCCCCATGTGTCTAGAATGTTAAGATGCCCCATGTGTCTAGAATGTTAAGATGCCCCTTGTGTTTAGGATATTTGCGGAGGAGTTGGTTGAGCTGTGTGGAAAGTTCCCAGAGATAGTGGTACACCAGCAGTGTGAGATGGCAGAGTTCCTTCACACTACAGCCAACTTGGCAGGTCGGCTTGACATTTATGCTAATCTGGTGAGTGAGTTGTTTACCCACCTTACACACTGGCAGCTATAGAGTTCTTTCATATGACGTCACGTCCGTTCGTGATACCTACGCCCGCCGCCACAGTGGTGTACACAAGACGTAAACACAATCAGCTGTTCGCCAGCGCTGGACGTGTTCACCAGCGTTGGACGTGTTCACCGTATGTAAAGAACCGCACCCGCGGAAAAGGAAAAATACGTTAAAAAACTTGAACTCTTAGGAATTGAAGATCCTTATACTGTTATTGACAGTTTCGTATAAATAAATATGTGGACAAAATTTCTAAATAAAAATACTGTTAGTAATACTGTTTGCGTTTAGAGTTAAAGTAGCCGAATCTGATCAAATGCAGTTCTCGATACTTTGTTTCATGTAAGGACAGTAAAATAATAAACTTCATTTTAATTATAAAAGATAACTATTAATAAAACAAATATGCTCGACCTTCACAAATACTAATAGTAAAAGACAAAGTCAAAAGTAATAGGCTAATAAGAATAATAAGATCTAATAGTAGGCCTAATACCTGGCTCCGCTGGGTAGACATAGAATCTAGAATCTACTTCTTTACTTAAATTTAATTACTTTAGATCTACATTCGATTCAAAATACACCCATAATAAATCAAAAGTAGTCATAATAGGCCTAATAAAGCATTTAATTGTCTCTAAGATCTAAAATCTCGCTCTATTATCTAATCATTTTTTAGCAAACGAAATTTTCTGAAATTGAAATAGATTAGGCCTATATGACTAGACTTAGATCTAGAATCTGCTACTTATATTAAATTGTAAAAACTTTATACAAGCATGTAGTTGATATTATTGTAGTAGAAGGCTTTAATAAATTAAATTACTTTGTTGTCTTTTTACAGCAATATGTATCTGATACTGGACTGAGTTTAATTAAATTCAAATTCATATCTAGTAATTGGTCTACTAAGTTTTTGTAGCCTAGTAGTACAATCTAGATCATACCAGCCAACAACAAATAACCACATTATTATTATTTGGTTAATGATTAGGCTAATTTTTTTTTTAAATCCACTGTTTATAAAAGAAACAAATCAAGCTAGAAACATTATAAGTGAGATGATTTAGAATAATAACAATGGACCCAGTCTACAATTGATACAATTGCAGGTCTACATAGGGCCTACAGTCTAGTAGTTTACAGTAGGCACCTAGTGTGTAGCTAGTATACTAGTGTGTAGCTGTCCAGAGTTAAGATTCTTAATGCCTTAATGCTTTCCCCTGATAAGCCGTGTGTGCTATAAATGACATAACATGACACCGAGGTGAGAAGTGTTGAGGGGAGAGCAGTGGGACTTTCCCCTTTGTTCTCCCTGCTGGGCCCTGAGGGTCAAAATTATATAAGAAATACTATCTCTGTGGGGCTGGGTATCACGGAGGTGAGACATTTTCAGGGGAGGGCAGGGCAGACTCCTCTTTGGTTTTATTGTGGGCTAGATACAGGTGGGGGCAGCCATTATGAGAGTTGAACGTCAGTATTAATGTGTCTGATTACTTCCCTGCTGGATTATAAGGGTCTTAAATTGTATAACATGCTATCCAGATTGGTTATTACCCATGGATTATATTAGCCGTTGTAGTGTGGGTTTTGTAGGAGTTAAGTGGTCTCACGTTTGCTACAGTAGATAACCTCTTACTGCATTTGATCAGCTTCGTCTACTTAAACTCTAAACGCAAACGGTATTACTAACAGTATTTTTATTTAGAAATTTCGGCCACATATTTATATTATCCACGAAACTGTCAATAACTGTATAAGGATCTTCAATTCCTAAGAGTTCAAGTTTTTTAACATATTTTTCCGCGGGCGCGATTCTTTACATACGGTGAACACGTCCATCGCTGGTGAACACGTCCAGCGCTGGCAAACAGCTGATTGTGTTTACGTCTGATGTACACCACTGTGGCGGCGGGCGTAGGTATCACGTGATTTAGGTCACGTGTTTGCAAGGACTCTATTACATTTTTTTTTGTTTTACTTTCTTTTATACATTTTTTACAAACATAATTTTTTACAAATACATTTTTTTTCAATACATACTCCATTTTTTACAAACACCATTTTTACTCCAAGCTGAGAAATACTAGACTAACAATCAAAATATTTTTTAAATGTTCAACGGAGAAAAGCTATGTTCAGTGAAGTTAAGAAGAATGACCTTCTGACTGGTGAGTGATGGTTGTGTTCTATTCCCACTCCAGATCTACGCAGTGGGTGAGTACAGCTCACTCATGCACACACCTGACTGCACTTCAGATGTCATAGGCAAGTACTACGAGTGCCTGGAAGTTGTGACCTATGAACTTTTGGGTCACCTGACTAGCCCGGATCATGACAGCAGCATTCCAAAAATAGTATCGACATTAATGTCAGCACTGACCAAGGTAAGGTCAGGTGATTCTCCCACCTGGAGGTTTTGTAAATATTTAGTAGCTGACCAAGGTAAGGTCAGGTGATTCTCCCACCTGGAGGTTTTGTAAATATTTAGTAGCTGACCAAGGTAAGGTCAGGTGATTCTCCCACCTGGAGGTTTTGTAAATATTTAGTAGCTGACCAAGGTAAGGTCAGGTGATTCTCTCACCTGGAGGTTTTGTAAATATTTAGTAGCTGACCAAGGTAAGGTCAGGTGATTCTCCCACCTGGAGGTTTTGTAAATATTTAGTAGCTGACCAAGGTAAGGTCAGGTGATTCTCCCACCTGGAGGTTTTGTAAATATTTAGTAGCTGACCAAGGTAAGGTCAGGTGATTCTCCCACCTGGAGGTTTTGTAAATATTTAGTAGCTGACCAAGGTAAGGTCAGGTGATTCTCTCACCTGGAGGTTTTGTAAATATTTAGTAGCTGACCAAGGTAAGGTCAGGTGATTCTCCCACCTGGAGGTTTTGTAAATATTTAGTAGCTGACCAAGGTAAGGTCAGGTGATTCTCCCACCTGGAGGTTTTGTAAATATTTAGTAGCTGACCAAGGTAAGGTCAGGTGATTCTCTCACCTGGAGGTTTTGTAAATATTTAGTAGCTGACCAAGGTAAGGTCAGGTGATTCTCCCACCTGGAGGTTTTGTAAATATTTAGTAGCTGACCAAGGTAAGGTCAGGTGATTCTCCCACCTGGAGGTTTTGTAAATATTTAGTAGCTGACCAAGGTAAGGTCAGGTGATTCTCCCACCTGGAGGTTTTGTAAATATTTAGTAGCTGACCAAGGTAAGGTCAGGTGATTCTCCCACCTGGAGGTTTTGTAAATATTTAGTAGCAGTACTCACTAATGAAATAGTAGGGCATGGCAGTTTATAAATGTTTACATATAGCTGGAAGATATACTAGCTGCTATGTAGGTCACAGTGTCTGTGTGTTGGTGGTTGGATGGGTGGGTTTGGGGCCAAATCTTGTACCTCAGTTTAGACTCAATTCTATTGCAGAGATTTTATTCTTGCTACATCAAATGGTTTCCCCTGACAATGCAAGAATATCTGAATAGATATGAAATTAGTTAATAAAATGAATTTAAAGATTACAGCAGGGGAAATAATGTGATTGAGCAATCCTCAATATGTCACGCCTCTGAGATGACAGGTGTTCCTAGGTAGTTTCATTTGTGACAACTGACCACATGACTTTTAGTCATATGTGACAACTGACCTAGGTAGTTTCATATGTGACAACTGACCTGGGTAGTTTCATATGTGACAACTGACCACAGACATTAATAAGAGCCAGATAATTGTCATTTAGAGATATGATTTAAAGATTGAAAGATAATTGTCATTTAGAGATAGCTTGAAAGATAATTGTCATTTAGAGATGTGATTGAAAGATAATTGTCATTCAGAGATAGATTGAAAGATACTGGTGTGGTTTTTAAGTAAATATTTGAGTCATGTTGGAACGGATTTAATTAACGTAATTAACGAAATGAAATGGAGACAATTAATATATAACTGATTGTTACTAAAACCTTTAAATATCTTTTAAAATTCCTAATTATTATAAGTAGAAAATATTAAAATCCAGTATAATATTACAAAAAAGCGTGGTTTGCGCATAATAATAAAAAAGTGCATTTTATTGACAAACATTTTTACCATTAGATCTTTAGAAAGAAAGTAGTTGTATTTTTTTGCTTATATAGCATTAAAAAATGTTATTATTTTAAAGTTTTTATATTAGTTTAGTTTTATTACTTTTCCCATTTTGTTTTACAGTTATCTCCCTTATTAGATAATGTTTAAATTGAAGTCTTGCTATGAAATAGTAAAGTGCTCTAAATTTGTACATTTCTATTGAAACACTGCAAATCATCTTTTGTTTTTCTATTTCAAAACACTTTCATAAGTTCAGTATACTCTTCTGTTAGTTAAGTAAACTAAAGTTTAAACAATTTGATACTAATTTTTGTGTTTCGGATAAAACATTACAAAATTAACTTAATGTTCCCCCAATGTATCACCTCCCATGCAATGTGTGTTGGCCATGTTTCAGTTGGCCTCTAGAAGTCATGACCTCATCCCTAGGGCCATCCTGTGTCTGACCAAAATATCCAAACAACAAAGCCTGGTACTGCTCAAGCCTTTCACTAAAGAGTTTTTGATGCACAGGGCAACCTCTCTTATTTCCATCTTAAAGAATCCTGAGTAAGTTTTAAAGAATCCTGAGTAAGTTTTAAAGAAACCTAAGTAAGTTTTAAAGAACCCTGAGTAAGTTTTAAAGAAACCTGAGTAAGTTTTAAAGAATCCTGAGTAAGTTTTAAAGAATCATGAGTAAGTTTTAAAGAAACCTAAGTAAGTTTTAAAGAACCTGAGTAAGTTTTAAAGAATCCTGAGTAAGTTTTAAAGAAACCTAAGTAAGTTTTAAAGAACCTGAGTAAGTTTTAAAGAAACCTGAGTAAGTTTTAAAGAAACCTGAGTAATTTTTTAAGAACCCTGAGTAAGTTTTAAAGAACCCTGAGTAAGTTTTAAAGAACCCTGAGTAAGTTTTAAAGAACCCTGAGAAAGTTTTAAAGAACCCTGAGTAAGTTTTAAAGAACCCTGAGAACATTTTGCTTTTCCAACATTCAGATTTAAGTTATCTTCTCTCTTTCACAATTTTAAAAACAATTTAAAAACTTTTTTTGTAAGTTCACTTGAAATTTTACAGTTCTGCATCAATGATTCTCAGTCCTAATCAAGAAATGTATACGGCCAAGTAAGTCAAAAACTTTTCTGATATATATATGTCTGCTTGCTTTGCCGACAAAATAATCCTGACATGACAGTGGTCAACATAATCCTGACATGACAGTGGTCAACATAATCCTGACAGTGGTCAACATAATCCTGACAGTGGTCAACATAATCCTGACTGCTGGCTTTGTTGGCCTAACCTGCTGTTGACCACAATCTGCTTTTGTTACAGGTGGCATCTAAACAACACCAGCATGCCGTCTATACTGAGGGGGATCAATAGACTTCTTACCCAGAGCTGATGTGGGGGTTTACGTGGGAGTTTATGTGTGGGTTTATGTGTGGGCCTATGTGTGGGCTTATGTGTGGGCTAATGTGGGGGTTTATGTGTGGGCTTATGTGGGGGATCAATTGACTTCCTACACAGAGCTGATGTGGGGGTTTATGTGGGGGTTTATGTGTGGGCTTATGTGGGGGTTTATGTGGGGGTTTATGTGTGGGCTTATGTGGGGGTTTATGTGTGGGCTTATGTGGGGGTTTATGTGTGGGCTTATGTGGGGGTTTATGTGTGGGCTTATGTGGGGGTTTATGTGTGGGCTTACATGGGGGATCAATAGACTTCTTACACAGAGTTGATGTGGGGGTTTATGTGTGGGCTTATGTGGGGGTTTATGTGTGGGCTTATGTGGGGGATCAATAGACTTCCTACACAGAGCTTATGTGGGGGTTTATGTGTGGGCTTATGTGGGGGCTTATGTGGGGGTTTATGTGTGGGCTTATGTGTGGGTTTATGTGGGGGCTTATGTGTGGGCTTACGTGTGGGCTTACGTGTTGGTTTATGTGGGAGATCACCCAACATCTTACCCCAGCTGATGGCTGATGTGTGTACCCCAACAAGACCTCTCTCTATTTGATCAAGAACTTTATGGACAGAAAAACTCAGTAAACAAAGTGCTGACATGGAGTTGATTGCTTCAGATTCTGGTCCAAACTTTTAAGATGATTTGTCAGGAATAAATGATTGTAAGTCTTGTAGAGTACTGGATGTTGTATTACAGTACCTTCTCTTAAGGCACTCTTGTAGAGTACTGGTAGTAAAGAAAAGTTCCCTTTTCAAACCTGACGGTCTATAGGGCAAGTGGAGTTTACTTGTTTCTGTTTCCTTGACAAATATAAAGAGATAGTGTGGTCAGCACTATGCCCAACCGTACTGGATGTTGTATTAAAATACCTTCACTTAAGGTGGTCTTGTAGAGAACTGGATTTTGTCTTGAATTACCTTAAATTAAGGTTCAATTATAATTGATTGTTGTTTTAAGTGAAACAAAAATGTAAACTGAAGTTTTGTGTCATTGAAATTGTATAGGCCAACATGCAGTGTTGATTGGTGTTTTAGTTTTTCTTCAGCAAGTAATATTACAATGTGTAACTAATTGATGGGCTACAATGTGTAACTAATTGATTCACTACATTGTGTAACTAATTAATGTGCTACATTGTGTAACTAATTAATTAGTTACATTGTGTAACTTTGTAAACTGCCCAGTTGTGTAACTAAAGTAATGTGCTAGCAGCTAGACTGTCTAGTAAATTACGGTGCTATTGAACATTCCATACTGTTCATACTTCTGTAGGGATGTTTATGTGATAAGCATTAACAACAACAGATAGTTTGACATTAACAACAGCAGATAGTTTGACATTAACAACAGCAGATAGTTTGACATTAACAACAGCAGATAGTTTGACATTAACAACAGCAGATAGTTTGACATTAACAAGAGCAGATAGTTTGACATTAACAACAGCAGATAGTTTGACATTAACAAGAGCAGATAGTTTGACATTAACAACTGCAGATAGTTTGACATTAACAACTGCAGATAGTTTGACATTAACAACAGCAGATAGTTTGACATTAACAACAGCAGATAGTTTGACATTAACAACAGCAGATAGTTTGACATTAACAACAGCAGATAAATTGTCATTAACAACAGCAGATAGTTTGACATTAACAACAGCAGATAGTTTGACATTAACAACAGCAGATAGTCTGACATTAACAACTGCAGATAGTTTGACATTAACAACTGCAGATAGTTTGACATTAACAACAGCAGATAGTTTGACATTAACAACAGCAGATAGTTTGACATTAACAACAGCAAATAGTTTGACATTAACAACAGCAGATAAATTGTCATTAACAACAGCAGATAGTTTGACATTAACAACAGCAGATAGTTTGACATTAACAACAGCAGATAGTCTGACAATGAAGGACAGCGACAAGCACACTATTAGGTGATGTTACAGTACAAATGTACTTGTCATTTTGCAAGGTTATGAGCTCCATGTATTTATTCATGCTAATTAATTGATGCTGTGCTTGTGTACAATTTGAGTGTGTGAAATTATTTTGTCTGGTAACTAGACTGTGATAACAGTGATATAAGAGAAATAAACGTTGTTTTACAGCAATATGATGTTTTTATGTCAAAGGAGGGTGCACATTTTCTATTTAGGCTTTGTGTGCTTTGTTTGGTGGATTTTGGTGTCTGGTGGATGTTGGTGTATTGTGTCTGGTATATTGTGGATGCTGGTGTATTGTGGATGTTGGTGTATTGTGGATGTTGGTGTATTGTGTCTGGTATATTGTGGATGCTGGTGGATGCTGGTGTCTGGTGGATGTTGGTGTATTGTGTCTGGTATATTGTGGATGCTGGTGTCTGGTGGATGCTGGTGTCTGGTGGATGTTGGTGTATTGTGTCTGGTATATTGTGGATGCTGGTGTCTGGTGGATGCTGGTGTCTGGTGGATGTTGGTGTATTGTGTCTGGTATATTGTGGATGCTGGTGTCTGGTGGATGTTGGTGTATTGTGTCTGGTATATTGTGGATGCTGGTGTCTGGTGGATGCTGGTGTCTGGTGGATGTTGGTGTATTGTGTCTGGTATATTGTGGATGCTGGTGTCTGGTGGATGCTGGTGTCTGGTGGATGTTGGTGTATTGTGTCTGGTATATTGTGGATGCTGGTGTCTGGTGGATGTTGGTGTATTGTGTCTGGTATATTGTGGATGCTGGTGTCTGGTGGATGTTGGTGTATTGTGTCTGGTATATTGTTGATGCTGGTGGATGTTGGTGTCTGGTGTATTGTGGATGTTGGTGTATTGTGGATGTTGGTGTATTGTAGATGTTGGTGTATTGTGGATGTTGGTGTATTGTAGATGTTGGTGTCTGGTGGATGTTGGTGTATTGTGTCTGGTATATTGTGAATGTTGGTTGATGGATTGTGGTGTTAAATGGATGGTGGTGTGTGGTGGATGTTGGTGTCCAATGGATGGTGTATCTTGGTGTGTGGTGGAAAAATGTCTGGCGGATGATGTTGTATCTTGTAATGTGTGTGATAGCCTACATCACTTATTATTCTAGATTTAAAATACATTACGTCTGTTGATAATCAACATTTCCACCAGATACGCCCCCCCCCCCCCCTCCTGACAAAATAATTTCAATATATGTTCATTAAATTAGAAAATACATACATTAACCCATCGTCTATTTCCTCCCCCCCCCCTCCCCTACCCCCCCCCCCCCCCCCCCCAAAAGAAAAAAAGTCAAATAAAACAATTCTATTTTCTACAACCTGACTCGCCAAGCTCCTACCTGTCCTGAATGAATGGGTACAGACATCTGCAAATAATAAAATTAAAATTTGAACTTAACCCAGACTTTTGGCCCCACAAATGTAGCGCTACCCCAGTGTGTCCCTATGTCAAGATGGCGCATCTTTGAAAGTCTGTCACGTGGGCGGGCTAAGTGTCGTCTCCCCCTGGGGTAGGTAAAGAAACGCCGTCTCTAACCTAACGATATCTATCAACAGTCGCCCATAGAAGTCGAGATTAGGAACCCAGTCATAGAAAGTCAACAGAACTAGACACCATCAAATTATTGCACATCTCCACGCCTGCCCGCACATAAAAATTTTTTTTCAAACCATCCAGCTCATGTCAGTGGAAAAAAAAATGTTTTCATTTCCCGGCGGTGCTACTTGTATTTCCCTGAGTATTAAAATAAATTGTTTTCATTTGACTGCTAGAAGAAACACGGGGATCAGTTAGATGAGGGACTTATTTTCACAGTTGGAAAAATTTGCGGCTAATTTTCTAGGCCCGGCGACGCATGACTGACTTGACTTAAAATAATTATCAATAACAGTACTTTTCACACCACCTCATAACAAACGTATTTCAAATCAGGGGCGGAACTACCATACCGCCAGACCCCGCAATGCGGGGGGGCCCAGGACGTTTAGGGGCCCAGTTCCGACCAAAAAACAATGAATTTTTTTTTCAAAAATTATGTTTTTCATGCATCTTGAAAGTGGTTTTGTAAAAAAAAAAAAACAGGTCTACTATAGCAGAGATTGTTGCGTAGAAAAATATTTTAAAATCTACAAAAGCTATAGTTTGAAAGGTAGGCAAACATTCACACTACTTCCATGACTTACTGCCCTTCTTTAAAATAGGTATGCCCACGAAGCTCATTTAAATAGTTTTGTACTATGTATATTAAAAGCAATTGATTCTCTGAATTATTATTTAAATAAGACGTAATAAACAATGGTATAACTATAAAAATCAATTTTTTCAAAATTGATATTATAAAAGCCAAAAATGAAAAAATAAACATAACGCGAGAAACCATTCACGAATCAAGCTTACGTCTTTATATATTTTTGAGCAGCGTATTCGTAGTGGCCATGATTATATCTAACCCAAGATGAGTTTGGACTAAATTTGTCTGATTTGTTCTCTCAGAATGGTTGTTTATTGCAATGAAGTAGACTTAATCACTCAGTTAGGATATAGATTATATATATATATATATATATATATATATATATATATATATATATATATATATATATATATATATATATATAGGGGGCCCTAATTTTTTCTTTGCGGGGGAGCCCCTTTTTTCTAGTTCCGCCACTGTTTCAAATTATCTTTAAAAAAAAAACGAGGGGAAAAAAACGTAGATAGCTGGCACGCGCTGCGTGGCGCCTTTTATGTAAACAGCTTTGTGGCGCCCCCCAGCGACCTATAAACCTAAGTCATTAGATCAGGAAACCTCAAGTAGCCTACTGATACTTATAGCATTTACCTGTATATTACATGGCATATACAGTACATGGTACTAGTACTTGTGTATTAAAAAACCAATACTGATTTCTTTGGCTAGGCCTTTGTACAAAGTTTCATGACAAAGTTTGTAACGTTGTCATTTTTCACATGGTCTGAAAATGGAGCTTACTCCTGTAAAATATTTAGGTGAC